TCGGTTTATTTTAGTTCTATGGGCAATTTAGGCCACCATAAGCATACGGTGGGCAGGGGGACCCTGCAGCACGCGCTGCACACCTGTGGGAAGAGGCCGAGCTGAGCCGCTCGCAAGGCAACCCCCCGAATTGTTGCTTTTGCAATCCTCGCAAACGCCAACTTCCAGCGCTAAAAGAGCCGAATTTCCCCGTCTGAGGTCCTCTCCTCTCATTACTAACATGAAGGGCAGCCCGCCCTGCCCGGCTTCGCGCGCTGACGGCTCGGCCCCCAGCCCCGCCCTGCACACAGCGCCCCCTGGCGGCACAGCGGGCCCGGCTCCAGCAGCCCTCAGAGGGCGGGCGGGGCAGGAAGCTGTGAGGAAGGGCGCAGCCCTGCGGCTGGGATCCGATTCCAGTGAGGCTTTAACTACTCTAAGGAAACAAACAAAAAAACCCACGGCCATCACAAAAAAGTCCCCAGATCCCCACTTGCTGCCTGTATTTGCTGACAGCCTTAACGCCTAAAGAAACGTAGTTACTGAAATGTCCGCTGCTGGTCATTTCTCCTCGGGTCGCTCGGCGGCGCTGCGCCCGCTCCCAGCGCTTCTCCCGCCACACAACAGAACGCAGCGCGCTGCCCCCTGCTCCGTATTGAATCTGCACGGAGAGCGCTGCGAGGAGAACGCAGCTCACTGACAGCCGTACAGTTTTGTCTGCCAATCTGATGAGAAAAACAGACTTAAAAGCAACAAACAAACAAACAAACACAGCAAAAGTTTGCCTACCTACAGGTGCTAGCGGGGCTGCCCGTTCCTACCATCACCGGCTCTGCTGCCACCTGCAGCCGCTCCGTCCCCAGCCCAGCAGCCCCAGCGCACCTGGGCTCGGATCCGTGCCACTGCGGGACTGGCGCCGGCGGCATGGCGGCTCTGCAGAGCTACGTCGGGATATGGAAAGTGTAGGTTTGAAGAATTGGAGAAATCAGTGCCAGGAACGGTATTCCTCACTGGGCAGTCACGGTTAATTGCCTGGAGCTTGGTTGTATTACAAATAGCTCCTATTTAGATAGCAGCACATCTAGGGTGGCCTTAGCTAAACTAGTTTGTGCACGCTCTCTTGGTTTTGCTTTGAGACCTCATTTTCATATGCGACTATTTTCTGGGCTGACTGAACTATCGTGCGTCCCCACGTCTGTGCCAGAGCAGCAGGCTGACGTTTCGACCTGGCAGGCACCACAAACTGAAAAACCAACCAACCAACCACAAGTGACCACTAAACTATTTAACCGCGAGCAAACTGGGAGGGCTTTGGGTGTGGGACTTCGCTGGCGAGGTGCTGCTATACACAGAGGCTTCTGTGCTGACCTCCCCAGACTGTGCGAGGACGACCCAGCAGCAGGGGAATGCAGTACAAAGCAGCTGCCCAGCACCAGTAGTTCTGTCCTCAGCTGACCCAGCCCATTTAAATCACTTTGATCTAATGAGAAATAACACCACAATGATAAAATCCACCAGCAGCCAAACAAGCAGCACCATTCTTGCACCACTTCAGACATTTTTTAAGTATTCTTTTTTTTTTCCCCACCGTTTTAAGATCTGGATGTGAGCAGTTAAGCTTCACCTTTCTATGGTGGCCAATACACACCGTGCTGGATAGCACTGAGAAACTGAACACACAGCAAAAGAAATAACGTATACCATTTGAGATGTGCAGAAGACATTCAGTACAAGCAGAGCATTTTTGCACCAGTACTTGGAGGCAAGTTTATGCAAGTATGCAACAAGGAAGGCAGGCTTTCCAGCTACAGCCTGCTGGTTGGCACATCATCTCCTGCTAGCTTAAAAGTCACCTGGGACAGAAACCAAGCACAGCACAGATGTGAAGTCTGAGTTAGGCATTTCACACATACACATTCCCCCCTTTTGCTATTCCTATAGGCCAGGTTCATTTAAAGGCAGGGAATGAACAACACCAGGCTGCTCACTGAACGACACTGCCCACTTCAATATTCAAATCATGGAATCATAAACACTTGCTTAGTTCCTCTAAGAAAAAAAAAAACAGGAAGAGTGAAAAACCTACAAACTCACACAACTACTCAGCGTTTACCATGAATGTCACTTGACACAATTTAGCTGCATTTTGCAAAATTCATCTTCATTTACTCAAAACCATCCTGACTTCTGAACAGGCCATTTGCTTTCGTTTCAAAAAGCTTTTCCATAATGAACGAACAAGACACAAATCCAGGGTTTACCCTAGTCTATTTTATTTACAATATATACAGGTCCTACAGAAGAAAAAAAGTGTATGATTTCTCACAAAGGATATTAAACAGCAAAACCACAGCGCAGCTCAGACCTACGTGCTGATGGCAGCCAGCACAAAGGCCACAGGGGAGAGGAGGTCCTGGGGCCGGCTCTTGGCATGGCAGGCTGGATCCCAGTGTGGGCAGCAGCTGAGGCAGGACGGCACTCGGCAGCGCAGCTGGCCGGATGGATTGCCCCATGGCTGGGGCACAGCTGGCAGCAGCACACACTCGTCCTGGCGGTGCTAAGCCTTCTGGTACATAGGGTGGGTTTGTTGACTGTCACTCTCTAATCTCTCTCTAATTTCACTGGTGTGATTTGCTTTGATTTCACAGAATGCTTTGGACTCCTTAAGAATAAAAGGCACCGTAAACCTACAGGAACCACAGCTATGTGGAATGATTCACATGGGCCGTTAAGGCTGTGCTCCTCTGATCCTGTGTAACGTGAAATTACATTCTTATTGCTTAACACTCAACGTTACCGTTGGTCATTTCACGCATTCACTCTTCTCCTGATAATTCCAGAATCTGAAATCTGAGTAGGAAATGGAGAGCACAGCACTTCTGAAGACTGCACTCCAACTGAACGAGACACCGCACCTGAGAAAACCTCCGTTCTTCTCCTCACAGCTGCGTGCTTCCCTACTTGAATAATAAGCTACATGTGCTCCAAGAAAAAAAGAAACATTTAAAAAACCCCCGTTACTGAAAACAGTACACAGGGAATGTCTGAATGTATCATCTCAAAATTGATGTGGGAATAGCACAAATACTGAAACTTGTTTAAAGCTGTCGTTTAAAAACTAAAAGGCATCCAAAATTTACTTTCCTAGCGGTATTTTCTTCTGAAATTGCAATTTCTTAAGATATTTCCTGGAAGCTGCCAGCATGCCAGACATTAATGCTAGAATGTAGTGACGTTCTGATACAAGCTCAATTTTATTGCTGTCTGCTTAGGGCATACTACTGCTGACCAGAGTACCTAATTCTACAGATAAATTTGGAATACAAATCCTGACACATACTGGAAGCCTGCAGAGACAGCAGTTGTCTTGGACTGTGTTGTATTTCTCACCATTTAATTGCAAATTCACTGCAAAGGAAAACTTGATCCACTTAAGGCACGTGCCACTGAAGCACTTCACTTCCCTCTACCTGTAAACTACACACAGATGACAAAATAATGTAAACTTGATTGACTTGACTGGGAATAAGAAATGTTAAAATCACCACAATATGAAGAACAAAAACACACTTAACAGAGATTGCTGCATTTTACAACAGAAACAAATACAGATGTACCAGAAACATATCTTGAAATCTAACTTAACAAAACTTGGTGGTATTTTCAGTAATCAGCAGCACCTGTAGAAGCATGAGGGCCATCACATGTATACAGCCCACCTACAAGATGAATGAGAGGTTTGAGCAAAGAAATCCTGTAAGAACTTGGCTCTGCTATGAATGCGTGGAATTCATTACAGCCGAAACCTATCATTCTATTAAGAGATCTTACCTTTAGAGACTGCAGATTTTAACTTTACACCATTTGTACGATTAGACTTGAGAATCTGGATGACAGAAATCTGTACAGGCAGAGTCAAGGCTACCACAAATACTCTACCAGGAGCTTTACAAATTAACCAGTAAGATGTTTTCTCCCATTTATCTTATTTGTACATGGCTCCTTCCTGGAAAACCCTTTCATTCATTAAGCTCAAATGCAACTAACTTGGGAGGTTAAAAATTCCAAAACCTAAAAAAAAAAAATCTAGCAGAAAAACCCACAGATTTCCCCCCAATCTCCAAAACAATCCATCTGAGGTTACACAGTCGTCAACACCAGAGAGAGAAAACACACCTTCTGGAAAAGCACAAAGAAGACATTTCCCAGAACTCGATTTCCAGAGAGAAATCTTCTTCAACGTCCACGTCATCACTCACCGAAGAAAAATTTTATAGAAAATTTTATTCAACATACAACATTTTCCAGCAAAAAAAGGCAATATACAGGAAGAGTTGTTGTACACTGCAGCTACAGAAACAAAATAAAATACTGGAAAAGAATGTAAAGTTAAGTGTGAATTGCTGATTCTATCTTTACTGCACTCAAAACTAGACACGCGGCTGGCTTTAGCTCCAAAATAAAAGGAAGCAGTCTGGGGACTGAAAGAAAACTACACACAATGAATATCAACATCAGTGAAATTCACTTGCAGACTCACCCAACAAAATTATCCTCCAAGTGTTAAATTGTACATGTTCATTCATTAAATATACAATTTCATTTTTTCTTTTTTTTTTTTTTTTTTTTTTTCATTTTTTCCTCCTTTTTTATACAAAGTCAACAGCTTACTAAACACTAGTGAGCATGCCCCTCTGTGCTAAAAGGCTATTTCTCGTGTTCTCCCCGTCTCTTCCCACGTTAACTAAATGAATGATATTTATAATCCTTTCACTTGCTTTTGCCAACTTTGAGTGTCATTCTATTTGCCAGAAGATGGCATAATAAATTGCAACTGTATTCAACAATGGCTGAAATTTTCATAAAAAGACCCAAATATCTCATTATAGGAGTCAGGGCATCCACTTGGCAAAACGGGATGCGAAGTAGTGACTAAATTAAATGAAAACTAGTTTATTAAAAAAAAAGATTCTATGCAGCTGGAGGAGACAAAAATCCCAAATAAGTGCCAACAATGTACACAATGAAGTAGAGATTGCTATTTATTGATGATGTGAGTTTTTTGCATTTACAAATGCACAAAAATGTCATTTAAAGTATAACTGAAGGAAATAAATCTGATGTGAGTCTAAACATAAGACTTACTAGCTGCAGTGATGGTGAACACCACACCAGGAAAGGCAGCCAGCCAGCTTATGCCATCTATAAACGTACTACAGACAAATATTTTGCCAATGTCAATTGTTCTACTAAACTCTTCCCTCATTATGCTGACAATTGCCTTGCATTACGTTTACCATAAAATAACTCTCATTGGCATCCAAGCTTTATAAAAACACCTTCATTTTGCTCAAAAAGGGCAGTCAATAGATACAGAGAAGCCAAACTGAACAGCCTCAACAAAATAAAATTAACATCAGCAGCAAATCCTCTTGCTGAAGACTTCAGATATAGTGCACGTGTACCAAAGTTCTACAGTTGTTAAAAAGGTGCACACACACACTTATTTTGTCCCTTGCCTTGACAATCTGGTTTATTAAGTCAGTTATGGATTTTAATAGCTTTTTCAAGGTAAGTGTAGCGACTTCTCTTTGGGGCTTTATTGAAATGGTCAAGCCCTAGCCACGGCCTTGGATGAGACATGTTGCCTAGAAAAGAAAGAGAAAAAAATGAAGTTGTAAGACTAGGTTAAGAAGTTTCATTCACACAAACTACTCATATGTGCCCTGTTCAGTTTGCTAGCAATTGTACAGCACAGATGAGGACTGAAAAACAGTCCTTAGCCTATGGACAATAGGGCTGCTCTCCTGACCACTGCTTCCATTCCATTATTATGTTGTACAATCGTTTCTGGGCCAGATAGCTGGTTTTCCTCTTCTTCAATCACAGGAGTTAACAGCAGTGAAACAACTGCTCAAGTAAAAGCTGGATGTAACTTATAGCCAGAGGCACACCGAGCACAGCACCAACTCTCACAGAATGGCTGGGGCTGTCTGAAACAGAAAGGTGTCATCCAAATGTCATTTAATACAGCAAATGCTGGTGGTTAAGTGACTGCTGCTGTATGAAGCCATCCTCACCTGGCTTAAGTAGGAATATTCTTCAAATAGATGCAAAATGCAAATCAGTAGTTAATTAAGAAAACAGGTAACTGACCTTGTACTCAGTCTTCTGATTAAAAAATAGTTACATTTGGACCAGGAAGAAAATATACACAACTTTTCACTAGTGCAACTCAGCATTAATTTACCTATGGCTAATTTTCATAGAAAAAAATATACAATCCATGGTCTTGCAAATGGGCAAGGTTCCCTTTCAAGATGTCTGCAATGCAGAGCATGAAACAGCCTTTGAAGTGAAATGGTAACAGCAGAAACTAAATAGCCCTCCAGCAAGAAAAGCAAACTTTTACATTTCAAGACATCATCTGCCATCACTAAAGCATAAAACACATGACCTTTATGGTTGCCTGTATCTGCATTCTTGGACATATTTTCCTCAAAATATTCTCTCTCTTCAGTTGATGAAATGGTTAATGGCAAATACAAATGAACTGCCAATCTGACAGAGACCATCCTAATGTCTTTTAAAGAAAGGAATCGAGTCCTGTGCTGGTAGCACTGCTGCAGTTGTCATCAGAGGCATCCCTGAGTGTGACAGTATCAACTGACATCAACTATGTTGGTAAGTTAGAGAAAGGCAAAGCTTTACACTAAAGCTCTGCACACTGAAATACTGTTCATATAAGAACACATTAGAGTGTCATATCATCATACAGCAGGACAACCTTGGCCAGATTCTACCAAAGTGCATTATATAAAAGGGCAACCTTCTATGAACTCTCAAAACCCCTCAGTCTCAAATTCCCCACGACTGCTTCAACCATTTCACGTTCTCCCTTTTCCCATTCCTGCCATGTTCTGGTAGTATTGACCTGGTTACCTGGTCTTTTACATCACCTTGCCACTGACAGCTCTAATTTTACTCAGAAAGTCCAACAGTTAGCTTTGGACCATTGCCTTCTGGTTCCCCTCACTCTGACGACTCACAGAACGAAACCATGACTCTGCCTGCCCTAAACAGACCAGAGAGGGTTATCTGTCCACTGACAAACTGTCTGCTTCCAAGTTAGTCATCTAGAGACTCCCCAGAATTTGTGCAGAAAAACAGTGCCCCTAGCAACACAAGCCACAGTTCCTTCCCTATGCTCACTGATGGCTCGTTCACATGCAGATATTCCAAGTTTTGGCAAGTCCCCTCATATTCACAGCCACAAGCCTGGCTGCTCAGCGTACCATAATGAGATGGCTTTTTGCTGGGCTCTTACAAATTGCTCATTAATGGTATAGGCCTAAGTCTCTGTGCCTTTTGAAATAAATGGACAGTTACAGGATTTCTTTACAAATGTTAATATACCCAGAACACAACCTGAGAAAAATCAGAGCAAATTTGGCCCTAGTACAACCTGCCAACGACAAACAGAGCTCATCATTGTTAGAAAAACAGAATTCTGGAGAGCAAATTGTCCTCAACCTCATTTCTGCCAGAAGGACAAAAAGAAACAGTCAGCTAAGCTGGGGGAAAAAGCCTTTGTGAGTTCAAGGCCTTCAACAGAGCCCTGACTGCAAGCCTAAAAGTGCCATTTCCAGCTCAAACTCCCAAAAGATGACTGCAGTGAAGCTCCTGACCAATCTCCTATGGTACCTATAGGTATCTCCTATGTGTGAATTCCTTAAGTAATAGTGCTTTAAATATCTGTCAAGTAAATAAGATAGCAGACCACCTGCACAGACAAATTCAGAACAGATCTGTATTTGTAGCTTGGTGAATCACGACTGAAGAACCCGAAAAGCATCCTATTCACATGTGTAATATTTTTGTTGGATTCTTCAGACTCATTAAAGAAATCAAGAAAGAAGAATACCTTAGAGAAGTACCTCATGTAGAGCACTTAAAATAAGGAGCTTATGAGGATGTACTTTAGTGTTTTTTAAGAATTCTATGAGCACTTCACTAGCAACATGAGAATGAAATATAGGAGCAGATGAGCAATACAGACATGCGAGTGACATCATAACTCTCTCTGTAAAGTATGTTTTGTGGAAACAAACCCATTTGGCAACTCAAGTGCAAACTTTTAACATGCAAACAAACAGAATATGCAATAGCTTGTATGTCTGTAGAATATGCATTCTCAAGACTAAGAGTTAAATGTACACAAATATGTATACACAAATACCTGCTTAGTTACTATATAATATACACAAAGTAAAAATAACTACTCTGTTCCTGCATTCTGAGTTCGTGGTAGCTGCACTGTAGCAACTGGCAGAGCAATTTCAGCAGTTCAAAACAACAGTCAGGTTGTTTAAGAACTCACCAGGTTGGGGCTCAAAATCTTTCAAGTTCACTTCATACTCATCTTCATTGAGATACTGGTGTCGACCCATCATTACAATTGCAAATTTAAACTAGGAAAAGGAAGAAAACTGTTCAAATACTGTATTAAAACAAAGCCTCCAAGCCTGATTTCACAGCCTAACACACAGTTGGTTACGAATGGCATTCTACTGAGATCAATCCTGTTTCAAGATCTTCATCAACTACTATGACAGTGGGATAAAATGAACAGTCAGGAAATCATGAGAATGCCCGTGGAATAACTGTGCCCACGTTCCCCAGTGAAAACAAACTGGCAACTAACTGCAGATAGTCCAGCAAAAGGCCCTGTAAGACACACAGTGGGCTGGAGCACAAGGCATACAAGCAGCCACGGAAAACGTGTTTATTTAGCCTAAAAAAAAAGGCTAATGGGCACCTAGTTGTCAGTTAATGGACAGGTGATACAGTGAAGACCAAAGCACTTACCCCCACAAAACCCAGCAAAAGGACATGGGGTAATTATTACATGCTGCAAAACGATGAATTCTGATCTCAGGAAAGAAAAAAAATCTTCAAAATGACAGCAGTACAGCTCTAAAACATGCTGCCCAGAATGTGGCAGAACTCCTTCTCTTGGGAGTTTTAAAATCACAGCTAGTTAAAATCCTTGGCAACCTGAGTTAACTAAGTGAGCTCTGGTTTAAGCAGGAAACTGAAGTTGTGACCTGTTGAGCTTTGGTACCACCTAAACTCTTCTAGGTTATTGTGCTGTTTTGTTGAGTACCTCTTCAATACAGTACAGTACTATTCCTACACATTCTACTTAGTTATTCTCAGAATGGGCATTAAGGCTAATAACTGCTTTACTGAATAACATCTACACTTAAATCTACTGCCTTCCAATTTCTTAAAGCAATATTACAGACTCTGCAGTCAGCAATAAAACTCACTGCCAGGTTGTCATTACCTTTTCAAATTCTTTTTCCTGTATGTCCAGCATTGTCTGAATCCGCTTCATAACCTCTCTGAAGTGTTCGCCCTGATGATCACAACAAGATTTTTAACACACACACACACACACACACACACACACACACAAAAAAAGGAAACAAAAGGGGGTGCTGTTGGTATTTTCTAATTTGAGCTACATCAGAATACTTTGCTACCTCAATCTCTCAGATTCTAACAAAATTACTGGAGTGTCAACATCATCCACTACAACAAACAATCAGCAGCCTACAATATATTGCTATAAATTCAGTACCTGCAAGTCTTACTGATTCATCATTACACAAACCATTGCATGACATATGCAAGTCAGGTTAAAGTTAAGAACATTTTAAAAATCCACAGCAAACATGGGTTCAGAAAAGCCCTATTTTCTTAGAACCTTTGCAGCTGCAATGCTCCCCCCCAAGTAGTAAATTTTGTAGCATTCTTCTGTATGCTGTTTATGAGCTGCTGAAAATACACTGCTGGATGGCATTTACTTAAAGATCAATAACACAATAGTTGCCATAAGGAAATGTAATGCACATGATTTCCACCATAAATTAAGACAAGATTTGATTCTAAATTTTCAGACTTTGCTGTGCATTGCTCAAAAACACAGGAATACAGTGAAGTGTCACATGATTCAGAGATGTGGCCATTATTTCTCACTCCAAAACCATTTACAAAATTAGGCACATTTCATATAAACCAACACACAAAGACCAAAGCAGCAGTTTAGAAGCACAAGTGCTAACTGCCCTCAGGAATACACTTTCCTATTGAAAGGAGGAGTGTGACCTGCACTCTCATTGGAGCAGTATCACACGAAAACTTAAACTGAGCTTTCAAAATTAGCTTTCCCTCTTGTATCAATACAGAAAGCATTCAAAAAACCAAACAATCATTTCCCATAACAGTGTATCTCAAGAAGCCAAGCAACCAGGGCTTGGGCACTTTTCTCAACAGGCATACTCTGCAATTCCTAACGCAGTATTAGCAATAGGATTTTAAGTTGTTGCTGGCCTTGGGTTTTGTTTTGTTACTTTGCTTTTAAAATGAAACAAAAAGATCAAATATTACATTTACAACGTTTCAAGTCTGTCTGATGTGGAAGATCTACAAAGCATCACTGAAAAACTGAACAGTTTTTATATGCAAAAAAACTAAGACAAGTGACTTATCCACAAAACTGATAAACACTGAACCTTTATACAGGATTTTTCCTACACATTTTTACATTAATCAATTAATTTTACTATACTTTTAGAAATCATTAAAGATATTATCTGATAGGGAGGGACAAAAGGGAGGCAGACATACCTGGTGTATCCTCAGCAAGAATGGAATTCCAAATGTCCCAAAAACCTCTTTGTGGAAATGTGCCACTGTGATTAGCATCTCATTTTCTTTATCTATATCTACCTGGTCCAGAGGAATTTCCTAGATCCAGGCACAAAATTATGACTGCAATTAGCTGTGCTGTTAGCGATGCCAAACAAGTCAATTTAAACAATCAAAATAAACACTCTCTTTGACAAAGTCCTGTCTATGCCTCCCCACCCCCAATACGGCAATTCCCCTGTCACAGCAGCACTGCAGCTTCCCATACTCAGTACAACACTCTCGGTTTGCCCAAGTGGCTTTTTTGACATGCAGTCTTCCACTACTTAGGAAAATATCCCAGCCCTTTTGTCATCTTATCATTACAATTTTACTTCTTTCTTATTTCTGAGTTCAGAGGCAAGTTAACATACTTGCAAGATGAAACGTTTAGAGAGATTACACACTAAGAAACAAGATATGGCTGAAGAAACTCTGATTTGAGAAGAAAAGGAAACAGCCTCCCAGAATATAATTCTGCATTTGAAAGTGGGTTCTCAGCTTAAAAATTTAAATCATGAGCCCCCAAACATCCCTTGGAACTACTGCTAAGCCGTCCTATGGATAAGCCACTGCCAACTGTTCTCATATGGTTATATGAACATATGTCAAAATTTAAAGAATGGAACTGCAACAGGGTGGCAGACAGAACAAAGGAAAATCTTTGGAAAGATCATCTTTATACGTGACAACATGTATTCCAGCCTGCTGCAAGTACTGCAGCATTTGGAAAATCAGCACCCAGGAAAAGATAATAACCACTTAAGGTCTTTCTTCATTCAAAGCAAGTTCCAAAGCAGCACTTACCTCTATTCGAAACGTCCGACTTGTTGCGGGCGACAAACACTCTAACAGCTCATCTTCCTGATGGACACCAATTATTTTGTAACTTACAATTTCTAGCAGCCTTAAAAACAAATTTTAAAAAAAGCTTTAAAAAAAAAAAAAAAAAGGTGGAGGAGGAATCTATTTTCAATTGTATTCGTCCAAGAGTTTTCCATCATTTATAAAGTCATTTTAAAGAAAATGACTTCACTTTTCGCTCCTGAGAAGTGAACAGTATGCAATACTTGAATTGGAAACATTATTGAAGTGTGAGCTGTGACTGATGAATCTTCGGCATCTCAAGAACGCAACTTAATGAAACACAGGATGAATAATTACATAAGGTTCCTACTTTCATTCAGTAAGAACTCTTAGAGCAAACTTTTTAACACAGTATCAGCCTTTATTTGGTAAGTTCCCATAATATTTTAAATTCTAAGGCCAATCTTCTGCATACAGCGCACGCGATCACAACAGACATCCAAACTCTTACCTTAACTTCCCTGAACCTTTTTCAGAGAGCTCTACAACTTTTTTACATTCTTCTAAGAGGTCCCGCACACACCCATGCTTATCTGGATATACTGTTATTTCCTGTGGGATATTTAGAACAGAAAAGCAATCAGAAAAATCTGGAATTGCACTCCATCACATTAAAGCACACAATACAGCAGGCTCTTCATCAAAATCCATCTTTTAAGAATAAACATTACTGAAGTGAACACCTTCACCTGAACGCATTAAGAACTGGCCCCGTTTTGGTATAAGGCACAGCCCTTCTCTCACACCATGTTCTTCCAGCACATCAACAGCACCACAACCCCAGCCTAGCAATATGGCTAAAAAATAACCACCAATAAGAGTAACAGCAGCCTCACTCACCTCTTCCCTAAATTGGCTATTTAGCCATATGCATTTAAAACTTCTTCTGTTCTCAAAATCAGTTATTTTCATTTTGAGCTTAAAGAAGAAAAGAGAAACACTTTAGGCATACTTTGTATAGGGCAGATGGTATTTTGTTTTTTTTACCCACGCCAACAAAAACAAAAGACTCTTACCTGTTGATAGTAAAGCTTTTTAGGTTGCCTAGGCTTGAAGAACTGCAGAAGATCTCTTAAAGTACCTTCATAATTGTGCCTAAGGGGATTACCAGGGCCGTCCCTATAACTATGAAAGAAAAATGAAAACCCTAAATCTCTCTCCACAAACAGTAAATCGAAGTTCCAAGAACGCTTTTATATCTGGCTACCAGTTCCACATAACTGCTAGCACAGCCTAAGCAGCATTGTATTTGGTGCATTAATGATTTTTGTAAGAACAGGCAAAGGCTGGGAGCAGAAATACCAGTCACTGTGTGCCTTAGCTCTCTTGGATGTTAAAAGCTCACCTTAATCCTGCAGTAGCAGATCTACATTCCTCTGAAACTACTACAGCAGCACTACAGTCACATGCTTTTGACTGTGAAAGATTAATTTGTGGAGTCACAGGACACAGCAAAATTCCAGTGACCATAGCACTGTAAACTATACAGAGCTGTCCAAACTGGGACAGATTTGTTGGTGAGGAAGGGAGATACCTGCAGGTTAATAAAGAGCCCTCTACATTTCCACAAATACAACACATTGAGACAGTCTGTGTGCAAATATCTAGAATGACAAATTTTCTGCTCTCTATGGATTCAAATCCAGTTTTACACAACTCTGCCAGAAAGCACCACTTAAACAGAAGCATTCCTTTCAGAAGCTGAGTGAGATCACAGTAATTTTGTTTGGCCAGGATGGAGTTAACTTTCTTCACTTACAGACTCCCAACAAATAAACAATAGAAATAAAAGTCAGAGTCAGGTAACTCCTGCACATAACGTTTTTAACAGCAGCAAAAATCCTGCTTTTACTTGCATCTGCTTCTGGTCTCCTCCATTCCAGAAATCTACATTCACTGAAATAGTATCTCTGTTAGTTCAATAATTCGAGCCATACAGTAAGGCTCTGAAACAATTAATGGCTTCAGAAATTTTGTTAAAACAGGGATCCTTTAAAATGCTTCTGTCTCTCCATTTTACTTACTCTTATAAAGCATCCAATTCATGGAGTCTCCAGTGTCAGCCACTGCAATGGTCACTAAACTGTCTTGGCAACTCACTGCACTAACATTTTATTGGTAAATAAATGGTTTGCAACCTGAAGGAAGCTACAAATTAACTGCAGCCTACCTATTATTGGGCTAAGTATTTTAAAAGGTATTTTAGACACAGAAAACCACACATAGAAGAAAATCTGTCTTACCCTTGAGACTTGAAAAACTGTAATAGCATTGGATCTGTATTAAGTCTTTGTGCAACTGTCTTTGCAACCTGCAAATAAAGGTGTGTGTAAGTTCTGCATTTTTTCAATTACGGCATTACACTGCATTCATACAAGAGAGTTAACACCCAATGGCTGGAAGGGACCTCTGGAGGTCATCTGCTCCAACTCCAGTCATTCACAGTAGTACTTCAAGAATATTATGCTACAGAAATTCTGTGAGACACAAGCCATGTGTTTACTTCTCCAAGGCTAAAGAAACTCCACGTATGTAACTTCTGAACAATGAAGAGAATAAGACTTTCAAGAAAATAAGGAATTTCTCTCTTGCACAATAAACTACAGTCACTAAAAGGCCAAAAAATCCACAATAATAGCTTAACTCTTACTTTTATAATCATAGTATTACTCGGGAAATAAGCAAAAAACTCTCGAGGTTCTTCACTTCACCCAAAGGACATTAGTTTTCTGGGTGGTATCACCTTATTATTCCTATCAGTATTTCATGCTGCAGCCTCACAGAAAGAATTGGAATCTTCTGCCTAGTTTTCCCTTGCCAAAAGGAGCTGTAAAGAACTTAATATAAAAATGAAACAAGTGAGTCACCGAGAAGCAGACACTGAGGAAGGATAGCAGAAATAATCTCTGATTTTCTCTATATATTCAGGTGCTCAAAGCTCCCACTTTTCATGACAGTAAAACGTGTTCTGTTTTCATGTACAAAGTACGTAAAACTCTGATAAAAACAGCTGTAGGAGAACTGTAGGGAGCCAGACCACACAATCAGGCTCTGCACAGACCAGTCCAACTTTATTTATTTTTTAAAAATTTTGAACAGTTTCAATGTCTGATTTGCTTCTTTTAAAAAGCCTTGTAATCACCCTTTATGAACACAACAAATTTGATCTGTTACCTGACACTGTGTCCTAGACAGCACTTTGTGGAGAAAGCAGTATTTGGCCTACAAAATTAATAGTGCTGCTAAACTACGAGGAAAGCAGGTATCATTGCTGTCCCAAGGTATTTTTCTATTAACAGCTGAATAAATTGAGCACATTTTACACGTTTAGAAAGCAAATCCATTATTTCATCAGAACATCAATTCCTAGAGCAGAATGGTATGTAAAGAACTGTGCTGCCAATTAACTCTTTATTAATACAACTAATACTTTTAAGCATTTCTTCATTTTTCCATTACCACAATGCAAGTAATATATAAAAACCTATCTGCTCTCCTCTAAAAAACATTCATTATGCCTTTGTGAATTAATGCAGATGGCACTTTCAGCACGAAGAAATAAATGTAGAGAAACAAATAGGATACATGCCTGAAAGTAATTCATCCTATTGGATAAAGTAACAACAAAACCTGGGTCGTTGGGGATGGTTTTATCACAGAAAATGACATCCACACGATGATAGAGGTCTCTGAAGTATTCCTTAGCTGTTGGCAGCTCACTGTTATCGTTTTCTGGGTCATCCCTACAAGAGCAGACAAACGATGGTACCATTACATACTACGTTGTTACACGTACACACAGCCAGGGCTTTCAAAACAGGTTCTACAGTGTGTCAGCGACAGTTGAGAAACACAGAAAGGAAGGTAAGAAACCTTGTTAAAGAGCCGCCACTTGTACGCAGTGGAACCAGCACGGTCAGTAGTGACTCACACCTCGAACACTTCTGTGCAGCTCAAGAGCAAATGCACTTGCACACTGTGCTGGACAATTTGGTAATCTGGCAATAGGCTGACTCCACTTGTTTCACTGTAGTATTCCAGCAGTGCTCTTCCCTCCCTCTCCACCCTGGCACATCAGTGCATGGCTTTATTAACGCCGCCAGATTTTCTATACACGACTGCATTAGTTGCTTTGCACAGAGGCCAGCACTCCTTGGAGCACAAGAGCAAAACCACCTGCACAGATGCCGGTTTGGGTCACTACTGACTGGTACCCCTATCTTCTCAGCAGAGAAACAGCACCAGGGTACAAGCTGTGCACTTACCCAGAAGTCAGCAGCCAGCCAAAGGTGCATTACACCAACTGGGTCAACAGGGAATGCGAGTTCCAAGGCATGACATGAGAAATACATTCATCTCACATAATCTGGGGTAAGAGTGCTGAAGATAGACTAGCTGGCTTCCACCCACTGTCAGCCCATGGAGAGAAACACAGCAACACAGTTGGGTGTGACCATCAGGAGTGAGAGCATAGAGATGCTGATATATAGCCCTGACAAGCTTATAAAAGATCCCTTAAATGGATATAAGGAGGAGTTCTCCTTTTGCCTTGGAGAAGACTCCAGTTGAAGCACCTATGAGTTGCATACACAACAAACTGGGAGAATCACCACAGACCAATATGGATGTGAGCACATATAAAAGGAAAAGGGAAAGCAGTTCAGTCCTAAGGTGAAAGGAGCTTCAAGTCAAGAGCTTGTATAGTAGTAATGGTACAGAGCCCAAGCCCTGAACTGCTGGTAGGCTCTTCTCTGAGTTATGATAGCTTCAAGTAAAAAGCTGCAGAACTCAGATGTATTGCTGAACCACATTCTTCAGAAGAGCAAGACATATTTTAATATTTATGAGTATTAGTTTTCTAACCTAGGATGAATTTCCTTAAATGATGCGATGTGGTAATTAAAAAACAACTATCTATCTTCCTGGAATGATCAAATGAGAACTGCTGAGAATATGTTTACTGCTGGAAAACTATACCTCACTCCTGTTAAAGCATTAAATTAAAGGAAGCTCTGCTTTCAAATTGAACTACGTTATTTAATTGTAGCAATAAACTGGCCCTTTAAAATACATACTTCTGAAACACTATGATGTCACCATCCATGAGTTCATCAAGAGCTTTATCAAGAGACACATCATAGTCTTGAATCCTTTCTGTTAAATTGGGTTTAACTTCCTGCAAGGAAGAACAAGAACCAGGCAGAATAAACAAGAGACAAAAGCAAAAGTCACAATATTAAACTTAATCAAATAAGGTAACTTGTACCTTCTATCTACAGAAAGAAGTACAGACATGCATATCTTAGATAAATGTAATCCTAGCTAACACTGACACACTTCATTGTTAGTTGTAAAACTGACTGGTTTTACCCATACTGCACTTTAAAAAGTAACTTCCTGAAGTATTTTATCACTTGGCATTATCAAATTCTCATAAAGATTCACTTTCTACTGATGCAGATTCCAGAAAGATAGGAGAATATCAATTAAGGTTACTAACTTTAGCAGCATAGTATCTCCCATACCAACCTTTACATTTCAACCTTGGTTGTTTTGTTTTTGTTTTTGTTTTTTTTTTTTTTTTTTACATCACAAACTTAGTTATTTTTCTTGTCATCATTACATATCGGAATGTTATCACATAGCAATTCATCCTTAAAGGAAACACACTACTGGCACAGCAACTACAGTTTTTACAATAAACAAGTCTGTCAATCCAAACCTCATAGAGGATAAGGTTAGTTTCTTGTGGAAATCCTGCTCTCTCACACATAACTGGAAGCAAGTCACCTATTGGAAAAGAAAAGGAGCATGAAACGTGTTGCACTGCTTGCAAGACCTATCTGCAAAAGAAGACAAAACCAATTTCTTCTATTTTCATTAAACAGTTTTAAAATGCCTTTCTAAGGAATGGAGCCTTCAAGGTTAAAGCTCCTCATCTTCAGATTCAACCCAGAGAGAGCCTTTAAGGTTTCCTTCCACTTCATTTGAACAGCAAACGTGTAAAGCCATCCAATATCAGAGAGGTTAAATAAATTTCTTTCTCCAGAAAAGCATTTCTACCTCTTTCTGAAACATTTACATAAATAAAATAAAACACAAAGTATGTACAAATCAACAGAATGAAATATTTTAAATGGAAAGGCATTATAACTCAGTGGCCACATGCTGAATTCTTTCAATGGACTCATGAAAGCTAAGGGTCACAGCCAAATCAATCCAAGCAGCTGCTCTCAGGCTACAACTGTGAAACATTGTACAAGAGTATTTTAAACACAACTTCAGAAATTCATTCTGCAAAATAATCTAAAATACAAGGGAAAAAACAGGGAGCAGTACCACGTCACAGAACTACAGCAAGGCAGTTGGCTGCCAATGCTGTGTTAAGACAACGATTTCAGCCTTGTAGAAATTTTCACAATGTTGGGAAAAATAAACATCAGAGGACCTGCACAGGCATTAGGAGAAACCACAATCCCACTCTGTGGCCTATCTTTGATTTGAAGAAAACATCTAATATTAGAAGTAAAGTAGATACACAACCTAACTGTCTCTACAAGTCATAACTTACGTATTTTACAGGATATAGGTGTGTAGATATGTCCACAATAATTCAAACTCCGAGTTTTCGGATCATACATCTTCAGAAACAACATTACATCATCTAGAAATTAAGATACAAAATTCAGTTTCAAATAAGGCTTATTTGACCATGTCTGGAGAAAAATCACTTAGATATTTTTCTTTAAGCTATAAAAAAAAAAAGTCCCTTCATTCACCTGATCAATATCCTTAAAACATCAATAATTGGTGGAGTTATATAAACCTGCATATATTTATAGAAAATTATTCCATTATTCCAGTGATATTTGAAACATGCCATCCACTTAGGGAGAAATGAGGGCAAAAGGTGTACAAGAAAAACCAATTCCAGCACAGTCATTTGATGAGTACATCAATGACATCATTGAAAACCAGGAGCACACAACATTTCTTGAGATACACGCAAAGAATTTTGCATTTACTCAAGATTTAGCACATAAACTTACGATCTTTGTCAAACTTGGGTAATGTTGCTCCAGTAGCAGCCATCTCTGGATCTACTGTTTCCAAAAATATTGTCCATGGATTTTCATTGTCACTGAGCTCAATCATCTGAATGGAAAACGTGGAAGAAGAAAAAAAGTCTCAGGAGAACATATTATGAAATGACAATTCATATTATTGAAATTTTTGTCAGACACAAAACTTTTTTACATGCTCTCTGAGTGGGAGTTCTTCTAGCTGGGCTAATGACAGGAAAATTTGTGAAGTTTATCAAGAGAAATAATGCCAGATAAGACATATGAAATTTTAATGAAGCAAAAATATTACATTTTCCTTAAAGTTGAACTCTTTTTCATTTGAAAATACTCCTACAGTTATCACTATTAATGCATGGAAATTAACTCCAGAAAAACACAGGACTACTTGTACTACTTAGATGAAATATTTTATATTCTAAGCAATACATTTCATTAAATCCATTGTTCTGGCCAAATAGCACAAGACTCAGGAAGATCCAAAACCTAACATATAAATTAGGATGACACGTTCTCTTCATAGAAAGAAATACTTTCTATGTAAGAAGTATGCCATAAGAAATATGTCATATTTCAAGTATTAGCATCCATACAAAAGCTTGGGATGGAAAGGACCTCACAGATCACCTAGTTCTCGTCCTCTCCAATATAAAACTTTACCAGACGGAGATTAAATTGAAACCCTTAAAAAACTCATGTCTTGAAGTTAGATTCTGAAATCCAACTGAGAATCACAGATGACATACAGAAGTAATGTTCTTTATCAATGAATACTTACTGTTTTATTGCCATCTGCTTCATTATCTAACATTGCAGGTCTTTTTGTTCCATTACTTCTAGCTTGCATTGGCCATAATCTGATCTGATCCTGGGGAAATCCCTAAAATTAAAGTTGTGACAGGAAACAAAAAAGATTAAGATGCTTACTGAAGCCAAACAGAACTCGCATTTTAAAAGGACTGGAAGAAGATAATGATTAAGCTGAACACATTATACTAAAACAAACACACACGGTCAGCTACAGAAAGCTTACCATTGTTTGAGAGAGGTTCTGAACAAATTCTGTCAGCGTGGAGTTTTTTAATACTTTGAACACGGTGTATTTCACTTTTTCTTCATCATACATGTCGTTACCTTGGTGGCCACAGAACTGATCCTCTGCTACTATCTGAAAGTTTACATTTAAAGGTTACTGTTTGTATTAACTCAGCTCCACACACAGTGCCATGTTACGACCATTCCGATGCGCTGCCCCTGGCTCTCTGGATGGCAGCACACTGCTTGCTTTGTGCTTTCACAAAGACAACTTCCTTCTACCTATGTAGACCACAATGAAATTTCACGAGTCAAATCACTAACTAATAAACATAAAGTAATTCTTACAAATTCTGAACAATGAAACATTGGTAGCACTTGGATCCCAATCTTGGAAATGTACTCCAACAACAGTGGCACTTTAAAAAAGAAAAGCCTGAAAAAAGCAGCACATTCTGTGTAAAGCAAGGAGGATGCTTCCTGCACCTGCTGCAGCTGTTAACTGACAGACAAAAGGTGCAACTCTGCCAACCTTCCACTGAAAACAGCCCCTGTGCAAACATAGTTTTGAATGAGCTTAACTTCACCAGCACCTCCACTTATGAACTCCATCAAGAACATGCAAAGAAATATGGAGGCAAACGCAAAATGGATTTTATTTTCTTTCACCAGATGGGCTCTGGAAAGAGCCATAAACAGGGTTCCTTAAGGCAATTCATAACAATTTAGTCCATCTGGCTTTTCCAAAAAGATAATTGCAAATATAAGCACTCTCTCCTTCTGCTTCTACTCGATGAGCTCAGTTTGGCAGATGTCCAGCCTTGCTGCCTATGGCTAGATACATTCTAATTTTAGAAAATAATTCCTGAAGGAGATAGAAGAGCAGTGGCAGGGCAGCCTTTTCAAATAACCCAGTCCTTCTCCTTTCACTTGAACTTACTATTTTTCTATGCAAGCAAGTAACAACTACAGCTTCTAGAGAAAGCAGAAATGCCTGCAACACGCTTTGATTTCCCAGAACAGCAGTGTTTCATTAGTACTGACTGCACATATAAACATACTCAGAAGCACTGAAATTTTTATCTCAGTGAAAACATTACTTCCAAACTTGTTCAAAAACTGAAAATCAAGGTTTGTCTTGCTGCCTGGATGCTCAATATTCTGCATTTTAATGGGAAGGCAGCTGCAACTTGATCTGTTTCCAAAGCTGACCTGCACTTGCATGTAGAGGTGAGCTTCCTGCCTCTCCTTCCTCTTCTGAGCCTCTATTCTTTTCTCTTCTTGTAGCCTTTCCACAAGTTGTTGAGGAATATCGTGGTCTGTGACAGGCTGCAAGACTTCACCTACAAAGAAGGTTTTATGATATCATTTCAAAATTTACATCACACGAGGTTCCCAAACACACTTCACTTCTGCTGACTTGAAGTCAAAACCAGACTTTTTCATCTTTTAATTAAAAACATGATTTGATATCATTGTGTTTTGGCAAAAGTAGTGTTTTCTATCCTGAGCCAGAATACACTGCTTCCACGAAATAAGTAACATAGATTTCAATATTCAATATTCATTTCAAGCTTAAAAAAACATTTACCACCACTCAATTGTTTTTTAATAGACCTACATTCCTATAATGGATTAATTCTAGTTTTTATGATTTAAGTCACTAATTCTCCACCCTGTAAAACAATTAAGGCTAAAACGCTCTGCTGGTAGTCTTGCCTTCCTGTGCTAAGAAGGCAGCAGAGGATTAGAACACACTTCCCACAAGCAAGGGAAATGATGGCTGATCCCCACAGAATCTACAAGTTCATCTAAAACTCATAGAGCTTCTCGTCCACAGTTCAAGTGAAGCACAGCTGAGTGCAGTATGTCTGCCTACCACATGCAGAAGATACATACTTAATTTTGATTCCCTGATGTAAACCAACATGTACGCATTCGTGCAGTGCCGTACAGACAAGTCGTCGTCGTGGCCTCCATAGTTGTGTTCAATTGCTTCTTCCTTTGTACATCTTGATACAACGTCGTCATCAAATTTACACCACTAGAGAAAATTTTATATAAATGTAATTTTACACCCAAAAACACGTTCTGGGGTGACACATGAATCCTACTTCTAGCATATCTACAGCTCTTTGAAGTAACCAGAATTTGTCTTCAAGCAGCAGGAGGTAAAAAAAAATAATCTAGTTCAGTCTGGTGCTACCTGCTACAGCATCACAGAGACCATAAGAACCAAACCTTCAGTGATGCACATGAACAGTTTGCACTGAATGCTGAAAGTTTTTAGCTTGATAATTATACAAATAATTCACCTTAAGACTCACATATTTAACACTGCTCTATGAAGCTCAGATAACTAACCCTATTTTTTACAAAATATACAGAGCAATGGTACAACATACAAAATGGTAATTTCTTGTAATTTTAAAGTAGTTTACAGGAAATTTTAAATAAAACTAACAAAAGCAATTCACAGTGAAAGACACATAGCAATAAATGCGCAGTAAAACCTGAGTATTCCTTTTCCTGTGAACATTTACACAGAAATCCAGTGAGCTCAAGGGAGGAGGCACCTGACCCATAAACATCTAATCTGATCAAGTCACCTGAACCTGTAACAGTCAGACATGCAAAGATGCTGAATTTCCGAGTCACAGAAAGATTCAGATTTGCTTCAGCATGAAGTCAGTCTGAAGAAAAGCAGAATAAAATTTGCTTGCTATAGAAATTCAACACACGCACAAGACTGAAAGGATTCCCTCAGCCTTTTAGTGGAAGCCAACAGCAAATAGGAAGGTGCTTCTTTTATGAAGGCAAGTGGGTCTTTACACCTCCAAATGTAAGCTGCTCTCTAAAGTGCAAGAACTGGACACCAGGACTGCGGGTTTGATTTCTGCTATAAATACAAGGCAAGTCAAATACATCTGACTTCACTAAGTGAGCACACCAGCATGCTGTGTTAGCAAACATCAATTGCAAAGAATTGCCCATCGTGAAAACATCAAATACCTACTTACAAAACACAAATAGGTTTAGCTGTTTTTCAATACTCACTTTTCCATCACCCTTTGGATTTAAGTAAACAACATAATGTCCACCATGGTTATCTCCACTGTGTACTAGAACTGCGTGAAGAATGTAATTTGCAGGATCTTTAGGATCTGTTTTTTGCAAAAATTCATCTAGTGGCAACTGTTCAGGAAACTCAAACCTAATTTTTGAAGAGAATTAAGACAGGTTTATTTGTATTTAGGAGATGCACACTATTAAGAAGAACACCAATACTGAAGCCAAAGGAGAATTACAAAAAGTAAATAAGTTACAGTAACAATTCTATCCAGGATATGAATACATTGGTAGATTTTACACAGCTTTCACATGGAATAGAAATAATCTTTATACAACAGCTGTCAGTGACTCAGTATTCCATATGTAATTCAGAATCCAAACGGTAGTCAGTGTACCTTCTGGGGACCTCTAACACACACCTACACACACACCTTCCTCTTGGAGTTGATTCAAGAATTGATTTTTTTTTCAAATTATTATTGTCACTATTATTTTTTTTTATATCAAGTACATCAACAGGTCCAAATTTTACATCTGAAAAATTCCACTGAACACTTACCTATCATTTATCTTGATGTTTTGATCAGTCTGTGGATCATACATAAATCTCATGAGCTGTAGATGTAGCACTGGTGGCAAGGTTAGGAACTTCACACCTTTCTCTGCCTCCTACATATTTTAAAGGAAACAGAGGCTTGAAAGTGCAAGATTTTTAACAATTTAAAATACCTGCCTGCTGCAGACATGTTCCTATGGACTTCTGTCTTATAGGCTTGACACACAACAACATGCAAAGAATAGTCAGCTTCTGCTCCAGTTCTGAACCTTCCACGAGTGACTCCAGCAGCATCACTAACCAAGAAATCGCTTCACTTAAATCCAAGTCACCCACGCAAGCACACGTGAATATTTCATTACAAGCAAGTCGTGTGTACATGAAACTTAAAAAAATACTGAGGCAAAAACTAATTTCTGATCAGTTAGGAATTTCACGTCCACTGCACCCTGCCAACAGATACTTGGCTACCAAATGCTGCTTCCTGAGAACACCTAAGAATATACAGAATGTTACTGACAGGATCTGCTATATGGAAGCTGCAAAAATAAGACCTAGGTGGGAGGGAAGGACTTCTCCTTCCTACAGTGGAAGCAACAAAGTACAGCTGAAAAGCTCAGGAACACACACACGGATAAATGGTTCAAACTGCACAGGCTGATATGGAGTTCTTAACGATGACAGAAAAACGGCGTCCTGATGGAACTTTCAGAGCTATGCTGCTTGTTCAGTAGGCAAATGGGACGGTCTTAAATGAATTCTCAGAAGAAGTTCATTGTGAAAATCATCCTTGTCACTAGAAATCTTTTAAATACAAAAGCAACATTTACTGCTGATTGGACTGTTTTCAAGTCCAAGCTCCATTCTGAGAAATTTAAAAGCAATTAAGAGGAACTACACAAATGCTTGCGTAAAGAGAAAAATGAACAAGATCTGTTGGTACAATCTCAAAACATTGTACCAGTAGCAAATTTTTTTGCTACTATAACTCTTATGTTATCAAGAACATAGAAATAAATTTTAAAATCAAGGAATAAAAATACCTGCAAGCCATGCTCTCCTGCATCATACTTGTTATCACCATCCAACTGCTCCACTGCAACATAGTCAATGAAGGATTCAAAAACTACATGAAAAAGATTGGCAAATAGTAGGGAAAGAAGAAAAAATATAAGTTCACTCGAGCCTGGGGGCTTAAAGTATCCAGCAAATAACACATTAAGACATCAGAACTTGTATTTGAATATTTGTCTTTATTGCTATATTGTTTAAGAACATCAAGAAACACACCAAAATTGTAGAGGCAAAACAGGAATTTCAACAGATTTTAAAACCACAGTTACAACTGTCTGCCAATTCTCCTGTTCTCACTGCAGCTGCTAAATATCAAGCTAGATGATTTTGTCTGCTAGAGTCTTACACATTCTTTTCTATGTCTTGTATGCCAAGTACTCGGTAAAGTGATGATAAGGGACCACTACAAGGATGCTCTGCTGAGTTTGTTCTTGTTATCTGCTTGTTGCAGTCAAGCCTGAATAAGAATCTATTCCCCACAAATTAATCTCCATATATAAATTATAACTTATTGTGAAAACACTACTGTTATTAAGATGGCATCATAAACTATTTTATTACACCCGTAAAACTCCTACAATTCAGAGTTCTCAGAGAATTAATTAGGTGGGAAGGAGCAAGGAAAGGGAATGGGAGAAAGGGTAAATGACTGAACATAAAAACACATCTCCTCTGAAATTAAACAAAAGATCTTTCAAAAATGATGAGCAACAAAAAAAAAAAACCAAATTTGAAATCTGCAGGTATCAAACTCATTAGTAAAAAACAGCCCAATACGTTCAGGTATTTCATTGGTGCATATTTCAAAGTATCACTTACTATTTTTCTTTCCCTTTATACTTAGCTGGATATCATAATAATCTTCTATTCGTTCAGATCGATAGTCTACATGTTTGCATTGGATATAAGACTGTAAACAAAAATAAACAAGACAGAATTTCAATATGTACAAAGTAACACAGTTAATTTTCAGAAATATTAACAGATTAAATACATACCACCATCTTTCCTCTGAACAACTTCGGAATAGTGCCTTCTACACATGTGCCTTTCATTTTATTTTCCACATTATCAAGCAGCTGAAAGAAAAATCAATTTTTTTTTTCACACAGGATAAACATGCAGTTTCTGATTCATTCATCACTTATGAATTGCTACTTCACTAATTTAAACATTAAGCTACTTCCATTAAAAGTTTTAGTCTATTCTCACTTGCATCTCCTCTAATCCTTCAAATCCTCCTCTTCCCCTTAGAACCTTCCCCTGAGGACCACCTCAGAAACCATCTTTGAGTGTGAAAACCTCACAGGTGTAATGCACTTCTATCTTCAGAACTATATTCCTCTCTACAGTAGTTTAAGGACCACTCATACACTCTATCTAATTTTCAGCCTTCCCCGTCCTTTTCAAAATCCTCACCCTCAAAAGGCCACAACCAATCCCATTCTTAAAAAATAATAAATAAATCAAGGCAAAAGCTCTTAAGCCTTACTGACTTAATTTAAACTAATTACTGTCAGCATAACCAGGAACTTTACTAATTTGTATTACGTTGGCTGCTCCAAAATGTATTTTATGATGCTGGCCCACGACATCAGAGGCAGATACTGGGATGGCAGTATTGGTTGAACCTTCCCACTAACATCCCCTTACATCTTACTGCTGACAGATGGCAACAGAGGGGCAGTCTGACACATTGGTGTCTGACACTGAAGAACATATGAAGCAAAGGTGTGTCACTGAACTCCAAGCAGAAAAAACTGCAGTTAATGACATTCACTGACACCTGCTGAATGTTTATGCAGACCAAACAGTGGATGTGAGCACAGGGTTGCAGGCAGTGGTGCATTACAGCAGTGGGTCACCTCTACTGGGGCAGATTTTTATGAGCGTGGCATGTAGGCTCTTGTTCACTGGCAGAAACGCACAGCTAACAGTGGTGACTATGTTGAAAAATAATGTTTTGTAGCAGAGAATGTACTCTATCAAAAGTGTTATTGCACTTGATTGTAGGTTCCATGGAAATAAATAGGAGGCAATACTTTTGGAGCAACCTACTTATACACACACAACATCAAGACGTGTCAGTAAGAAACAGCAAAATCATACCACTCGACATAACTCCTGGACATCGTGTTGCATGAAGCTGTCTAAAGTTTCCCACCTTTGCAAGAGAAATCAGTACAAAATTACTGTGTCATAAAGAAAATTTACAGTTCAGAAGACATTTACATGGTTTCTCCTCAGAAATCAACGATGCGATGCACAGCAAAATACACAGACTCTAAGGGACAGTACTGCCTGGTGCACGAGTTCCTCAGGCATACACTGCTCCTGGATCCGTTTCTCCTTTCAGTACCCCGAGCTCAGAGCAGGAAGAGCACGAACACGTGGGCAGCCCTGCACCCATCTCCCTTCCTTCTGCAGTCCTGGAGACAGGCAGTGGTAAAGCAGCCCAAGCCATGGGAAGAGCCTAAAGTCAGGCTCTTGCTAGCAGAACGCTTCCAGTTTAAAACCTATTCTCAGTTCACGTCAAAAAACACTTAAGAAAAGGCCCGGGAGCAACTCAGTGCTGTCAGAATAGTTTCCTCAACGTGCTTCTCACTGCCTCCGCACCGAGTGCCCTTCATGTGTAGTTAAGTCGTGTTCAAGGCAAATTTACGCTCACCAGAAGAAGCAAATGGATTTCTAAGAAATAGGGGCTCCTTTGTGCTCATCTGAGCAGTTAATCTTGGATGCACAGTAGCTCCAAGGACACATCCATGTTACTGAACGCTTCCACACCACCTGTGCCGTACATCTGCAAACAGCTGTGTGAATGGCACAGCTACAACATGGGCTTCAAAGGCCTCCTCAGTGGCCAAGGTACACACTGCAGCAAGGCTGCCATGGCCCCTGCCTTAAGTAAAAGGGAACAAGCATAAAGGAGCTGTTTTCAGTTTCACCACAAAATATTTTGTCAAAGAAACTCCTTAGATTCAAGAAGCATTCTTGAGTTTGGGACTCTAACAGCTCTTCTTTCAACAGCCATCATTTCCACTATGTAAAATAAGCTGTATTTACCACAGGCTTCCACGTGAGCTAAAGGTTCAACCCCATGCTCTAGAAGCCAGAAGCAGAGGGGCAGTCAGGAACAGTATCAGCCTCACTTTCCCCTCCCACTCTCAGTGATTCATCAGCACTGCAGTACGCTACTCCCAAAAGCAGGCTGAAATAGCTGTGTGGGGTCCTCACTTGAGCAAGATCATTGAAGTAATCCACTGGATATAATTAGGAATGGAAAATAATCTTCTGAATCTGTAGGCTTTAAGCATTTGACAACTTAAAAGGACAAAAAAAAAACAAAAAAAAAAAAACAAAAAAAAAAAAAAAAACAAAGAAAAGGTGATATCCTAATACTAGGATTTCAAGAGGACTTTCTGACAACATCAGTTTGAAGCCAAGCTTATTTATGTTCCTCAGACAGTCATAGGGCCCAGCACAAAATAAAGCTCCACACAGTAGGTATCACCACGTTAGAAACTTCCCTTTAATTTAAAGGGGAAAAAAAAATATATATATATATAATATATATATTATATGATATATATATCTTCAACCACATTCAAAAAATCCTTCCCAATAACCAAAGCAGGCAGGAGCACATTTTCCAAAGGTTGCCCTCAGCTACAAAATTCAGCTCGTGCAACATCCTCAGGAAAGATCTCTTCATGCTACTGAAGATGACACAGTTAAGATACTAACTCAAGGTGAAGTATTTACAATATCAGCAAATCCCTTTAGTGTAACAGGATAGGAGTGCTGATAAACTAAACGTACCAGTAGGCAGAAGATGCCATCAGACAGAGCACTGAGGTTACCAACTTCATTTTAAATTTACCCCAAAAAGTGCAGAGAAAAGAAGGACAGATGTAAGGGCTCAAAGAATCTTATCAGGGCAGAGCACTTCTACAGCTTTAACAGAATCAGAGAGCTCACAAATGGGATTGTTATGCTGAACACCAGGACAGCTCTGCAGAGAAGACCATTTATTTTCTAACCCATTTTTAAATAATCCTTTCAATACTATTACAAATGATGAGCTTACAAACACACATGTAATGAAGTAATGCAAATAACATTTTAGAACAATTTTCAATTAAAAAATTCTCTGTTTACGGGGTCAGCTGAGCTATCAAGCAAGCAAACAACCAACAATAAAACCACCGTCCTCAGCACAGCTATACTGCACAACCATTTTCCATTTGTCTGTGTGTTCCAGATACAAAAGTATGTTTTGTAACACTGTCTCACAGGAGTATCACACAAAGAGAAGCCAGGCAATGAAGTGGGTACTGGAGGGAAGCGAAAATAAAAGCCAAGCTTTTAGCAGATGTTTTACAGAAGAGAAGAGTGTGCTAGTCTAAAGAAAATGCAAAGAAAGATTGTGTCTGTGTATGTGTACTGACTGACAGCTTTCCTCCATGCAACAGATACTCTTTAAGCGTTAAATCACAGAACAGAATACAGGATAGATGTTTCTAAAATGAGGATGAGAGAAAATATAAGATCTTCGTAAGTCCTAAGAAAGTGCTGTGACAGGCAGCGGTGTCAACCTAACAATCTGGAGATGCACATTACTATTTCCCTACATTTAATACAGAAACAAGAGAGAGATGAACAATACACGAACCGCAGTGTGGTTCTGAATTTTACTTAGACAAACGTGTCGCACAACTTTCAGGTATGGCAAATCCTAACCCCACTGCTCGAGTGTTTGATGACTCTGTATTCCAAAACCTGACTTCTGGACCAGCTGCCGTTGGTTCTGATCACTAACAAAATCCTTCCCAAGCTACCTATGAAAAACTAGCAATTAACATGCCGTATTAACACTTCTCTGCACCTCAAAAAGGTATGATTTAAATGAAACCTTTTCAAAGAAATACTATATGAAACCTATAATAGCTGAAAATTCCAAAACTTACCCAAAAGATTTTGTTAATTTTTTAGTTCCAACTGGTTTGTCACTATGTTGCAGCTCATAAAACACTCTTTGCAATGCTAAAGGAACACTTTTGGATGAATCATCTCCTTCGGTGGGCATCATGTACACAGCCTGAAAAGGTATTTAGTTCAATTAGTATCAAAGGAAAAAGTTCATTGCTCAAATCATTTAATGCACACTTTCTTCTCCAGTGACTTAACTTCATACAATTCATTCAATCATCACTCCAGAAGAATGAGAAAAAAATCTTTTTACTGTAATGTGAAAACATTAATTGTCTAAAATCATCTTAGAGCACAGTGGTTACAAAGATCTGAACAACCGATTCTGTTTGTGGTAATGTTATCTAAATGGTTCTCTTATTCTACCCTAGGAAAGTAAATACACTCAGGCTTTCAATGCACATGAACAATTTATCACGCCTATGTCCATACAATCATTACGGTAGAATCTGATATACTGGATAGTGCTACAGGATTTTGGAAATAAATTGCTTTGTGCTTTAGCTTGGCTCTGTGTGACTACCATCACCTCCACTGTGGGGAAAAACCACACGACATGAAAGCATAAAGGGCATCAGGAGAGTGAAGCCAGAGGGTACAGCTGGAGCATGAGGATGCTGAAGGCAGCCCTGAGATTCTCTGATACATTCATTCCTACTGAATAGCATCACTGCCTGGCAAACAGAGTAAACAGCTTCATCAAATCAATTCACTAATTACACCACACAGAAAACAGAAACGCAAATAAACCCGCAGGCATCAGGAGAGCTCAAACAGGTAGGAAAAAGGGATTGCTCATGAAACCTCAGGTCAACGTCTACAGAAAAGCTATTTACAGAGAAATGCTCACTCAAAAATTCTGAACGTAAAAAGAAAATAGAGACAACTTTGAAAGGGGATAATAAGTGAAAAAAGGAGACACTGCTATTAAGTATTACAGGAGAAAACATCCTGTTGAAGGGAACAATTGCCACCCAATTTTAATCATCTTCCTTTGCTCTGCATTTGCAGATCTCAGAGCTTGCTTAAACCACTTTCACCAACCGATATTTAAAAACAAACAAAAAACACATCCTTATTCTTCAGGAACAAGTTTTATCTGCCAAACCTCCATCATCCTTCACAGCCTCTCAGCAGCCCAGCAGGGAAACCACCCAGCAACCTCGCGCAGCTTCACTCAGCTAGGATCAATTCATCGTGACGCAGCTGCTCAGCAGGTGTTCCAAGGGGCCAAGCAGGGCTGCAGAGCTTCCAGCAGGGCAGCCGGGGGGGCTGTGTGCGCTGCGCCCCGCTCACAGACCCAGCTCCAAGCAGCCCACTGCCCAGCGTGAGCCCAGTGAGCCCTCCTGCAGCACTGCTCCAACACCTCTCTGCACACGTGCTGCATGGTTTGACCACTCTGCTGTGACCATTTCTTCCCTCAGGTCAGATCATACGATTTCAAAACAACTCCATTAGAACTATATATACGTATGTGTATATATATACACACACACACTTTCAGCTGCTTCTCTATTTTCGTTACCCTGATGCGGAGTTACAGTTAACTAGACTGATTTGGGCAAACTCCAATTTAAACATCAATAGCTAAAATTACCCCTTTGATTTTGCAAGAGTTATTTTTTGCTTGAAAACACTAACATCAAGATGAGTCAGCATCTTGCAGAATTAACCTCCCCCTAACCCTGGTTTATGAGCTCTTTTATGAGCTGGTCTTCAGTGGCAAGTATGGGAATGGGTAGTATTTGAACAACCATGTTTCAAGTCTTCTGAATCCAATCAGCCTCTGCTCCGTTTCTCAATATCTTGTAAATGCTCCCCGAAAATCAAAAATCGAGCAAGTTGGTTAAGCTTAAGTGAATTGGATATGAAAAAAATCACACAAAGAAACATATTCCAATATAGCCTGTGCAGATACATTTTCCAAAGGTATTTTTGTATTTACTTATGAATAATCAACAATCAAATGCTAAAAAACCTTCATGACAAACCTAAGTGATACTACAGCAGGCTAAAATTCATCCTAGTGGTTCTCAATGTAGCTGTCTCCTTTTAAAACGAATGAATAGGAGCTCAGAATATCATGGCAACTAAACAAAAATCAGGTCTTTTGCATTTAGTTATTTGATTTCCTCATGTCATTCTTATGACTAAATCCGTTCCTGCATCTCTCAAATAATAATCAAATAATTGCTCAAAATTTGTTTTTAATGACTGCACTCCAGATGCTGTTGAATAAAAGCACCCATTTCTTCTGAAGTTCCAATGAATTATTAACTTCTAACATACAGCCTTTCTTTGGTTCTGTAGGTGAGTACAACTGAAACAATTTCCCAAAATGCAAAGTGTTTCTCCATCCTAAAACAAACACAAATCACCCCTCAAATACAATCCTTCACAAACCTCTCTTTTCATGCTCTGCCCTCCCAGACTTCGTAAACTGATTTTCAAGGATCAAGGAATTGGGCATTTTGATCATATGAAAAAAGCAGGATCTTTAGTGCCTGAGAAGCTCCTCCAGGAAACAAATACATAAGAATGACAGGGACACGAACAGACAATGGCTAAAAGCACCAGACACATATGAGAAAGACTCTGAATAGTTACGTGCAAAAGAATGAGACAGGTAAGGTTGAAGACACTGCTCAGAGTCAAGACAGTTACTTAAGAAGAGGAGACTGTGCATTAAATTTAAGGGTAAGGCAAAACATACTGGCTAAATTAAGGAGAGGCTGATCAGGAAGGAACGCACTGCATCAACACATGACTTTAGCATAGCTACAGACATTGTGCAACGTGCTCACAAAACGTAGGGGACTGCTCAAGAGAACCAGCAACGAACTTCTTGGATGAAGCAGAGACAGACAGGCTGCAGGCACTATGATGGGCATGGGAAGTAACAGGCATGCTCTGAGAGCAGCCCTGGACTCCCCACCTGGGAAGCCACCTCTGTCCCTTGCCAGTGGCATTCATTTGCCAGTCACAAACATGCTCTGCAGAGCAACTTCCTTTGCTTTATTCCCTAGCACTAAAGCCACCAAATTGCTAATGAAAAGATGTTTCATTTCAGGTACCTGAGAATCCTCTGCCTGCTGTTTGGAAACAAAGCACAGAAAAGATCTCTCCATTAATCCTCTCCCACGCTTCAGAGGTCTGACTTCCTGCAGGTATGGGCTTCCCCTTGCTATTGGGTGTGCTTCCCCAGCTCTATCCCTGACAGCAACTCCTCTGTTAACAAAGCTCCAAATAACAGCAAAACAATTTTTATTTCTCCTAAGTAGAGAGGACTAACAGCAGTAATGGAATTAGTGATAATTGTATTAAAAGGAACAAATAGGTTCCAAGTGAAAACGAACATGTTGTAGAGATGTCACTTTTCAGACCAGTCAGCTCACTGACTCTTCCCATCTCTAACAATAACAAGTGAGTACTAAAACTGTCTACAAAAAAACCTCTAGTGACTATTCTATTTACAGGTGCTCTGAAAACCTGGAGAATGAGCAGAGAATCCAGTACCATTTCCAAAAGGAAGCTGCAGTTCCTGGCTAGCAAATTAAGCTTTCTCCTTTGGTCACTACCCAGATATTAACGATCCCTAAGTGCTGGTATGTATCTGGGCTCTGAGGAAGGAGTGCAGGAGAATGCCTGAAAAGATTAGTTCAGTTGAAACAAATCTGTATCACAAAAATAATTTCTTCTTCACAGAAGATTACGTCATGGTACATATTGATTTACTGACTACCAGACATTCTTGAAAGGAACTACTCAATTGGATTAGATGTAGCTATTACAGAAACACATCTTTCTTTCAAGAGCAATGTGAAGTTGTCCAAAAACATAAAAGTCACAAACATTATCAGCGCTGAGCAAAAATCAGGCATTAAAACAAATGATAAACTGAATGTGAAAGCTACACCTCTTGCTAAAAAGGACCAGAGGCACCATGCAAAGCAAATCAAGTATTTTTTTCTTGTGTGGCACTGGTAAGATCTCAGTTACAGGCTACTGGAGCTCAACATGCTATTTTTTGCAACACTTCAGAGTAAACAGAACACTGCAAAAGAAAAATCTCAACAGGAACACTTGCAGGTCACTGTGATACAAATAATAACGATAACACAGTGAAAAATGATATAATAAAAGGAAAGTTTTGGAGAAAAGAAAGAGTAATGGAACAACCTTGTACACTCAAGAGAAAGCAGAAGTCAGAATACTTAACTATCACTAAGAGTTACAATAACCACAGATGGCAAGAACACGGACATTAAACACTCAGGGAGAAGCTGTACACGACAAAAAGCAAAAGGAACAGATCAAGAATTAAGAATGACAGAAGAGTCTTCAAAAATCCTTGAAGCGGAAAACTTTCGTAAATTAAGGAATGCAAATCACCAATAAAAGTAAATGAATGAAGTAGGCAGGATCAACAGGAGATGCCAACAACATAAATGGTGTACTTATAACTTCCCATATACATATTTTCCCATTCTCCAGCTAGCCACACTCCAATACAAAGACATGGCTTATGTTTTTAACCAGTAAGGCTACTGCACTATTTCAAGTTTACACGTGACCTACTATCTTTTGTCCTGTTTTTCACTGAGATATGAAGCCCACAAGTCAAAATTCTATTCTTTCCACTACAAAAGAACCATCTGTAGTAAATAAAAAACATACGAACAAAGCAAATATAAAAGTTGTTCAAATACTGAAGTTACGATGTTTTCATTACCACAAATACACAAGCCACAACGTCAGATAATTCAGCCACATAACAAACTGAAAACCAGAACAAATGGTCATACTTATTTTTTAATTATGTGGTGGGTTGAGAAGTCACAACTGATTCTTCCATTTTAATTTAAGGAAAATACCTTCAGATCTGTAAGAAGTTGAATCAGTCCTTTTTTCCTTTCTCACTACAATTAATAGACATTTTATGCTTAGCGTTGCTAAAAAACATCCCTTAACACAGATTTTTCACCAGGTTTCCTGTCTATTTTCACAAAACCAAAAGCCTACACTCAAACTAGAAAAGGAAGCTTCCTTCCTTTTTCCTGAAGTATGATGTGCAGACCATGTAAATTACAACTTCTGTAAGAGGATGAAGGAAGCAAAAGGGACAGACAGGTCTGTTTTGAAGCATTTCTATATACAACAATCTCATTTCCTTTTCCCCACATACTGATTACCTTTCGTAGTTGATTTGTGAAAAATAAAGTCTGTAACAAACTGTTCATGTAACAAGTTGCTCCCTGGTTCTTTAAGCCAACATATCCTGTGTGCTTCTTTGAATCCCACCTAGAAAAGGTTAAAAATCAATCAATTAAGGTTGAAATCAAGACAGAAGTGTAATAAATACAATCTGTTCTAAGGTACCAATGCTGTATACTGGTACTTTATTTTTAAAAGAGATACTTTTCTCTATTACTTAATACTGAAATAACAGACTAAAAACACCAGCACTACCAGCAAGAAGCTTTGGAATTACATGCTCTGCAATTCTGTAAATTTTCTTTTATAATACGTTCCATATGGCAGACAAGTTATTTATCATGAAAGTGTGCTGGAACCCAGAGCTGTACATTTAAAGACAAGTCTACATTTCAGCAGAACTGATTTCTTTAGAAGTGACACGAGGCAGAGTGACTCAGACAAGGAAGTTTTAAACAGCTGTAAACCCAGACAAGCTGGACAGCAGAGTCACCTGATTACATCTGATAAGAGTTTCACTTGCAGGATCAGAAACACTGAGGCTGGATTTGCAGAGCTATTAAATCACAAACCAATTGTACAGAAGTAAGAGTTTCACAAACACTGTGATGAATAATGCATACTGAAATTTAACAAATCGAGACAAATCTCTGTATGATTAACAGAAAGTATTCACTGGGAAAATTCATCAATTAAAGGTAACTAAATGAGTTGTAGCTCATTAGATGTTCTATTATTAACAAAATACCTGAACAATTTGAAGTCATGTAAAAACAGTAGAATCAAGAATTAGTTTGGAGCAAAGGTACTTACGCCACTCCATGGGGAGCATCTGCTTGAACATAGACTTCAAAAGTAACTTTGTCTTCTTCTATAAAGCCCTTTTCAGGATCAGTAACTTCCTGTAGAAGACAAATGACACAGGAACGTGAAAACTGCAAAACTTCTGTACCTTATGACATTGCAGTGAAGCAACCAGTTAGATATCACTTAATTTCCAAACCTGACCTATCTGAAATAATAAACCAAAGTGGGAATTGGGGGAGTTGAGGGGGGGGAGTGAAGGCCAGCAGAAAAGCTGTTTTTCAGTTTAATGCAGTTGGATCATTTTTTAATGTCTCAATACAGGAAACCTAGTCCTGCTTTTTAAGCTTCTGCAGAACTATTTCAATTTCCTGTAGATATTAAAGAGTAAGTAATCAAATGCTGAGCTTCCAATGAACACTGCTCCAGCCAGATGAAAGATTAGAGGACTGACTTCGAAAATGCTTAAAAAGCTGTCTCAAGGTAAGCTTTTGCAGTATTTTTGTCCATTGAAGTGTATGTACATGCACATGAAGAACATATGGACGTGCAAGAAAGTCTGTGTTGCTCCCGAATGACATTACTTGTTTTCTTTTGTTTTCACCAAGTGACAGTCATTCAGATACTCATAAATGTCTGAATTGGAAGGGACCTTTAAAGGTCCTTTAGTCCAATCCCCCTGCAATGAATAGGGATACCTGCAATTCAATCAGGCAACTCAGAGCCAGGTCTATCCTGACTTTCAATGTGCATCCATCACCTTTCTAGGCAACTTGTTCCAGTGCTTCACCACTCTGATTGTAACAAAACCTTCTTCCTTATGTCCAGTCAAAATCTCACCTCTTTTACTTTGAAACCATTTCCCCTTGTCCTAACACAACAGACCCTGCTAAAGAGCCTTCTTTCTCATAGCCCCACTTTTGACACTGATAGGCTGCCCTCAGGTCTCCCTGGATCCTCCCCAAGCTGAACAGCAACAGCACTCTCAGCCTGTCCCTGTAGGAAAGGTGCTCCATCCCCTGGATCCTTTTTGTGGGTTAATCAATAGGCTCCACTTGATCAAGGGGAATATTTAAGTCAAAATAAAATCAATCTACAATAAGGACAAGAATTCACAGGAAATTGAAAATAATCTTCAGCAATGACAAGAAAAGCAGCTTAAAATACATTTCCACAGGTATTTCAGACTCCAGAAGGATAAGTACAAAACTTTTCCTGTCCAGTAGCAGATTAATAGAAGTCCAATTACTTACACTCCAGGCCATAAAGTTGGAAAAGCCCCAGTCATTTTCCTTATGAAAGAATAAGTGACTAATACGACGACTGAATGATTTTTCATCATCTTTGTAGTTTATTATCTTGAGAACTGCTTGTGCATGACAAGACCATGACCTACAAACACAGAAGAAGCACGCTGTATAATCAGTGAATATAAAGATGTTGTAACTATGGAATAAACAAGAGAGTTTGGCAAAGCAGATCATAATAACAAAAAGAGAATAGACAGAAAGCTTACCCACATCCTGGACTTACTGCAAAACTCCAGAGGAGGGATCTCCAGAAGAGATCCTTTCCCCCTGGCACTCAGCTCTCAAATGGGTCCAGCAGAGGGGCAGCCAGGCTGCACCCCTTCCGGCAGCGCAGCTGAATTGCCTTCACCTGTGCTCCCAGGGCTGACTCAGTGCTCGCCTCAGGTGATCAATCAGAGGTTCAGGCTGTGATTCAGCAATTCCCATACACACATGAAATCATTCAAATAGCAGCTTTTTACAGTCACTAAAAACACCCTTGATAAGGTTTTTTGCTACCTTGCTTTTATTCACAGATTTTTCTTTTGTTTTCTCTTGTTTGATGTTAAGGTTTGATTAATCATTTGAGAGTATGAATGACTGAGCCTTCTGAAGCCAATTATGAATCTGAATTCAGCTGGAACAGCGGTTCTCCTTGGGCAGTGGTATTAAGGCAGGACTGTTAGTGAACCACAGGTAACAGCGGTTTAAAGTTCTACTGCTAATCCACTTTGGTGCCAACATACATGTCAGCTGAAAGGGCTCTTGGTGTCTCCAGACTGGGATAACTCAGTCTTTAACAAAGGAAAGGAGGAGGTGCTTCTGCCTTCCCACCCATCAGATAAATTTCCCAATTCCCCAGATTTTCTCAGCAGCATTTATGATCCTGCTCAAATCTATGACACTGGTGTAAATCAGAATGAACATCAGTTCAGACACAGCCCTGTCAATGCCTCATACAGAAGCATTCCTGCTTTCTTAGCATCTAGTTCAATACTTCTGAAGATTATACTTTCTCTGTGACTACTATGTGTGAACCACTTCTCACAGGAATTGGTGACACATCTTTCTTCCTTATCTTTGCGCTGAGCATTCACATTTTAGGTTACAAAAATGACAGGAAAGAGCAACTGTTAGAGTGAAAACAGTATAAGATTTGATGCAAGAATGAAGTTATCATATTGGAAGTGATACCTGTGAGGCACCTGCTCTTCAACTGGATAAAATGCAGAGGTTCTCCTTAATTTATTTTACTATTTACTAAGGGTCAAATGTGGTCAAATTTGTTCTGCATACAGGAATCTGAGAACACGTCCAAGTCCTTATTATGGCTGCTGAGCAATGAACTCAGTTCAAGGACTACGTCAACACAATTCCCTGCCTCAGCTGCAGAGAATGACCCACTCCTGCTCCTCACAAGGTAGGACCTATGGCATAGCAGGGCTTTAAAGCTCCAGCAGCTCCTCTGCTTGAAATGAACCCAGAACTTCTCACATGCTAAAAGAACTGTCAAAGACTTCCTTTCAGTACTCAAACTGGAACATACCTAAATTCCTACCACAATCTTGCTGAAAGAGAGGATTAGTCCTGTGCTTTAGGTTTTGAAGGGTCAGGATGAAAAGAGGACTCAACACCCTGCAAGAATTCTTTCCTCTCAAAGAAAGTTGGATGAAGTAGGTGTTTTCAGATGCCTACACTTTTTACAATACAGTTCAAATAGTATCAAACGAAGACTCCAATAATACTTGAAGGGGTCTTACGTGGAATCGGATTCTGCATTGCACTGGAGGAAGAATCCTACGCTTTTTTGGTGAGGTCTGTCCGGGTAGAGTCGTGGCATGACCATGATCTTCCATGGCAAATTCCGTACAAAGCAGGGAGGGCTGAGAACTGACTCACTCAATCTGTTGAAGCGTTCCACTGTGAACTGAAAGGTTGCCTCCGATCGCCAACTTGTATCTGTAAAATACAGATGTACATGCAGAGAGCATTTCAAAAATCTCATGTGCTGTCCTCCGAAACAATCCCCGCCAACATCAGTGCCTCTGATGTAGGGAGGTGCTGGAAGCAGCCAAACAAAACAAAATCCACAGTGTCTTTAACCTCCCACACAACCAAAATTCCATTTTTTTTTTTTTGTTTTGAAAAACACTGCAATAGCATTTAGGGAGACAGAGCACTGGAATAAACTCCTTTTGGACAATTTCTTCTTAATGATTTAAGGATTCTCACAATCTGTCCAACTGACTCAATACTAAGTCACTGCCTAGTTACTGTTTTCTGCTTGCAAAAGTGTCTTTTCAGAACAAATCAACCTCCTTTTAATCTTCTATCAGACAGCTGAAGAATTATTAAAGAGGGTCCTACATTCTTGTATGCAAAAGTTAACAGATTTTTAGTCATCTAAAACAAAGTTAAATGAGACAGTCTTTAACACTGCTTATTTTGACACACTGAAACTAGTTTTGCCTTCTTTCCACATCCTCAGTTCTTTGTATACCACAATCTGCTCCACTGCTGCTGTACGGAGCTCTAACAGTGTGCCGGAAGCTGCGGCAGCTTCAGGAAGGCACAAGTCTGAGCTCTTGTTCCTGCAATACACCTCACGTTGTGTACAGGGATACAGAACTCATCTGACAAGGAAGATGTAACAGAGGGTGCCCAACACACTCTCCTGCCTTTTTCATTTTTCTCCCTCCATAGCTTCGTCTGAAGTCCTGCATAGCACAGCCAGGTTTGCTCCTGGGCACTGGGAGGCCCAAGCAGCACAGGGCACGCAGCCCTGGGCACATCATGTGCTGTGATACTGAACTCGAGAGCACTGGGGTGCAGGGACAAGGCAGGAACTGGGCCAGGCAAGTCTTGGTTATTACCTTATTTAAAAAACCAAATTATTTTAATTACAACATGCAACAGAGGAAAGATTATACACTCCACACAACAAACTAGAATTTTTGTCTACAACTGCATGGGAGCTTTGACAAATTTCCTTCTTTGCCCCTGGAAAGCAGTTTTCTTTTTAAGCAGCTATCCTGCTGCTGACTTTGACTCTGGCAACAAAGTTAGCCATATCTGTGTAGGGCAGGACAGACATAAGCTTTCCTAATCAGCTCTTAGAAGTAACTACTACAACAGAAGCTAGCCAACCACTGCTTGATCTCTCCTCCACAGCTGTAACAACTGTCACAATGCTCTGTGCTGCCAGATTCCTTGACCTTTCCCATTGCTGGGGTTTACTTTCTCCTGTTCTCCCACTGCAAGTGCAATCAAACCAGCAGTTTCTCACCTACTCATCGCTTGCTTCCCACCCAGCTCAGCTACTCACTGCTTGTTGACAGAACCTAGGCAGCTGCACTTCTATGGGCAAAGGACTGCCACACTTTCAAGCTTCCTTGCAGAGAAAGACAATTCTTAACTTACCAATTTAACTCTGTCTTATATCACATGTATCTCCAAACAGCTGGAAAACACTTCCCTGTTCACAGCCCAGTACTTCAGGGCTTAGTTTACGCACCCAAAAACGAGCAGACCAAGTTTGCTTTCTGCCTCCTTGAATGCAGCATTCAGAGCACTGCAGCACAGAACACCGCTCCACTACCAGCTAAGGCAGCATCTGCAGATGCTTCCAAGCAAGCTGGCCTGTACTTCTTGCCTTCTTTTCAGGAAAGTCTGTGCGTGAGACTTCACCAGGGAAGGGCTCTTCTCAGCACAGAACTTCAGTAATCACTAGAAACTATTTCACAAAAATGCAGCCTTGCAGCAAAGGTCAACCCTGAAATAGAAGTTTCTCTAAAAATACAAACAGTCCCTAGAAATAACGACCTTCCCTTCCCTCCAGAAAGCCCATGCTTGAAACAAGTGCAATTGATTAAAACAAGAACTGTGTTTAAATGAAACAAAGTTTAAATAGTAAGTCTGATGAATACTCTGAGCACATAAGTAAGTAAAACCTTCCTCTGCCATCATATCTGACAACCTCTCATACAAGGCTGCAATTGGCAGCAGGATAATTTTGCAGTGACTGGCAAGGAAGGCTTCCACGGATCACTGCCATACACAGAGTTAAACACAAGGCTGGAAGAGCAGATCCAGCTAACCCTGCCCGTTGAAGTTACATGCTATGGATCACATCTGCTAGATGGAAAAGATTTTGTCACTGATGACACTAATGTCACATTTAACACCATGACACAACAAAGACTCTCCAAATTACAGATCCAAACACAGCACATCTTCAAAATGAAGTACATATTTTTGTGCTTATAACTTTGAGAAAACCAGATTTCTTTTTTCCATTAGTAGACATTGCTAACTTTAAAGCACACTAAAGTTATTAAAATATTTTGAACCTGAACTATTAATAGCAAAACCAGCTGAATAGTCTATGGATATTTTTAAAGTGATCCAAAAACAGCACACGCAACATTGGCACGTGGCTAACACTGGCACTGCTGAAGCCCTCCTAGCTGCTAATTCTTAATGGAAACAAGACAGCACTGGGAAACTGCAAAGCAGTGAGTTGGTTTTGTGAGGGACCTTCTGTTTGACCTTTAACTTCGGAGAGAATTTATGTTAGGTGCTGCTTGGAATACTGACGAGCGTATGAAGCAAGTCTGATCATAGCCTTGTTTATACTGCTTTTAATTATATTTGCAAAACTGCTGTTTCGTTTCACAAATTTCAGGTCACTGAGCCCTTTCCTGCACAAATCACAGCACGCTCTCCACTGCTGGCTGTTTTGTATTGCCAGCACACCACACAGACCAACACCAGCCCCATCTCAAGTCCTGCCAGTGGTACACTGCAGTCCCATGCTGTGTTCCTCAATGCCCACGTTAGCTGCCAGACCAATGGGATGAGAGCTGCACTTTTTACCCCATCCCAGTTGTTTTTGTTTTTTCTGCTTAGCATGAGAAGAAACATCTCAAAAATGTCCTGAATTCAAACAGTTGGTTTCTGTGATCCCACAGGAAGAGAGCACCAACATTTTATCCTAGTTTTCACCTCTTCCACAGAAACTGTTAAAACTCATGTTTGGTTTTCTTACTGAAATATCCCAATTCTCCTCTTGCATCCTCTTCCAGCTCAGCTTGTTCTCACTTGCTAAGAAAAGCAGCAGAGGAACACAGAGGACGCCGATGTCTTCCTGCTTTCTCCCCTATCCTGTGAACCTCTGGGCTGCCCATCATACATGCACACTGTGCTGCAGCTCAGATAGCAAACGAACCAACAGCAAGCCAGCAATTGCACTGATGTGTAAATAACACAATAACAAACACCTCATCTGATTTACAAGGCCATGAAACAGCACCATGCACTTACGTGATGCAAGTCTTCAGGAATGTCTTTGCAATAACAACACTTTCTGTGTATATAAAGAAGTATCATAGCACCAAGACGTATGCAGGCACTCCTTCATCAAATATGGTAACGAGGACCTACCAGAGTATTGCTTAACAATCATATTCTACCTCTGATAGCTGTCCAACAGCACAGTGCATCAATACTCCTGACCACATCGAATGTACATGAGGACAATAATTAATATCACAATAAACAGAAAAGGTTCTTAAGATCTTTCATAACAGGCAAAAATAAATTGTCTTGATTGAAACAAAAATTTCTGTTTCAGACTCAATTAATCACAGTGAATTAAAGTTACCTGAAGGAGATCAATAACAAAAATCACAGGCTGAACAGACCTAGTTTTTACTCTCTTGCAATAATCCAATCTTAGGAAACTTTACCTTTGCCAATGTTACAGCACGTCCTGAATTTAAACCATATTCTCTTCATAGAACATTACTATTTTCTACTCTATCTAATATCAGGTTCCTTGAATACATGAAAGCAGTGCTTTTTTGCTCTTTAAACTCAAATTGTGATTTTTTTCTCCAACAAAACCACTGAAAATTTTCCACATTACTGGAAATTAGCACTTGAACATTAGCAAATCTTCAAGTACTTCAGATTTATCTCTCACAAGACAGGACAAGACAAAGAATCAGAGGGGAAGAAATCCCACTCACACTATCTCCCTTCTCCCATTTATTTTGTTCTTTGAAATAAAGGCAGTTTCTTCCTCACCTCCTCTCTTAAGAAAAGAAATACAACTGGGCACTTCACTGAATATAACAACAAACTAAAGTGAACTTCAGATTATCTTTCTTTAAGTAAGTCTATCATATTTACTTTAAAATTATATTTTCTCTAACAAAAACCCACAAATTACACATGAACTTTTATTTAACAGGTCAACAAAAATATTTCAAAACCTCCATCGCTTCTCCTTCTCATTAAAAGGGACATCAGTCGACAGGATTTCCCTTGGACTCAACTGCAAGGGTGGAATACATTCGTCAAAGGAATAGTTACAGTGAGTTACTATCATAGCTGCCACGTAACAGAGCAGAGCAGATAAGGGCTCTCTAACCGTCCCGAAGGAGTTGTGTAACCGACGCACAGCGCTGTTCGGTAACGCGCAGCTGCACGCACAAATGACCGCGTCAGAGAATTTAACAATGAGCAGCACAACTTTCAGCAGTGTTTAAAGCAATATTTAAAAGAGAAAATAAATAAACAACCTGTCAGGTCCCTGATGCTACTGGATAGCAATGTGAAAAGCTAGAACAGAGAACAAGGAGTTAACTACTGAGGCTTTGATTTTTAATGAGATGCAGTTCAAAGGATAGATAAGACATAGGCCGTTTTGTTCTCAAAGTCATAAAAATAACAAAGCCAGCCAGCTAGATGTTTTCATCTGTATTTCCTTACCATCCTCCATGTCCTCTTCGGTGTTGTTGTGTCCATCAGCCATTGCTACATTCCCATTAATGACAGGATTTTGAGTAATTCTTGGAGGATCGTCTGCATCTCCAGCTAACAAAGAAAAAGAAAAACAAAAATTACTCAACTGTATTCACGTTTCTATCTCAGGTAACACTTATGAGACGGACTACTTTTCAAAGATATGAAAGGCACACTTTATCCTGCTGAACAGCATCCACCAAAGCAGCAGCACAGCTACTGTACTGATGGATGTGCAACCGTAGAACTCTGCAAGCCAATGAACACTAACGACTTGACAAAAAGCCCATATTAACAGAGAACCTAACATTCTTAAGCTTTCAATGGCCTTACACTCAGAATTACCCAAGTCTCAAAGTAAAAATGACCACTTAAATGACTTTGTCTTTCTGTCCCACCTTTACTGATACATTTATAGTAACAAACTGGTAAATCAACAGGATGCTTTATGTCTTCTTCTGTTTCACTTCTTTTAAAAGGAAAACAGAAGTATCAATCTAGAGATGCATTTTTAAATCTAACTTAGAAAAAAAAAAAAGCAAAGAAAGTCCTTTTACCATCTCGGGAACAGCTCAGAAGTAACATTCTCCAGTTTTCAGCCACTACTGACACTAAGCTCTGCTACAACAACTATCCAAAACACACATTAAGCGCCACGAACTAAAGCCGAGTATTTTCGAGGCGCATCGCTTTGGCGATCCCGGTCATCCCGCAGGCACCGCGGGCACGCGGCAAAGCTGCTGACTGCGGGACCTCGCGGCAGCACCTCGGACAGCGGCCAGCCCTGCCGCCCCGCGAGGCGCCTCCGCAGCCCGCTTCAGAAGGCCGGCGCGCACAAAACACTTCAACGGGCGCTGCTCTCCGTCGTCACGGATTAGCAGCTCCCCAAGTAAACTTACAGAACTAAGGAACAGAAGAAGATGAGAGCCGAGATTTCTGCCCGGATTAGAGCTCTGACACTGAGATACCTGCTGGGTCCCAGCGGGCACCCACTGCGTCTCATCAGCGCGATCCCAACGCCGATGACCGCTGGTGCTGAAGGCTGCTGCTGGGCGAGGCACACAGAGCCTGCCGGCAGCAACCAGCACTGCAGCGCTGGCTTCAAGTAACAGCAACCTAATTACAACAGAACTAACTGGGAAGGGAAAGGCTTAAACTGCTGCAACTCATGAACAGGAAGAAACAAAAAATCACAGTATCACAGAATCACAGAATGGCCAGGGTTGGAAGGGACCTCAAGGACCATGAATCTCCAACCTCCTTGCCACATGCAGGGCCACCAATCTCCCCATTTAATGCCAGGCTGCCCAGGGCCCCATCCAACCTGGCCTTGAACACCTCAGGGACGGAGCATCCACAACCTCTCCGGGCACCCACCCTTCTCTCTGTGAGGAACTTCCCTGACATCCAACCTAAATCTCCCATCCCTCAACTTAAAACCATTTCCCCTCGTCCTGCAGTTATCAACCCTTTCAAAGAGTTGATTCCCTTCCCCTCTGTAGGCTCCCTTTAGGTACTGAAAGGCTGCAATGAGGTCACCCCGCAGCCTTCTTATATCACCATGTTTATCTCCACAGCTTATCTTTCTTTCTTTTTCTCTTTCAACAACACAAAGTCTGAGAGAGCAGGGGCAAAGCTCCTTGCAGGGCACGCAGCACACAGCCTGCGGCAGCACAGCAACTGCCTGCACACTGACACAGGCTGCTTTGTTCCCAGTCACCATCAGGGCAACTTAATGCCTATAAACAGGTTGGAGCAAACAGCCGAGGTGCAGCCAGTCCCTCACCAACAGCAGGGAGCACTGACATGTCCTTGAGCTAGGACCTGGCTTTAACAGTGATGGGCTTCTGAGAGATGCTGCACTGCATTGCCCCAAAGTGCAGCCAGCAGAGAGCAGGGATAAAACACAGAAACAATCAGAGCAAAAGTGATCACCTTAGGAGATACAGCAGAGGCATATGTGAGATACTACAAAGGGAAAAAACAAACCACAGCACAGCACGTGTCCCGAATGCCCATCCCAACACACGGCAGTGCTGCACCACTTGGGCACACATCACAGTAACAGCAGCAGACACTAACAGACAAACACTGTTAGGCTGCCTTGTAAAGAACACTTAAATTGGTTTCTACCTCTCCAAAACACAACAGTTACAACTTAAGTATTATTTCATTAGAGAAAAAGAACACAGAATATGATGAAATATACGAATACAACAAACCACTGAATACAAAGCACAGCTCAGCAGTGACCATGTCTGCAGTCCCACATGGACTAAAGCTACAGAAGGAGCCCTCTTCCTCAGCAATGAAACCATGGCCGCCAGAAGTTTAACACTGAGCAACAGCTGCACAGGGCTGCCATCACGGCTCATGTCATACCAAGTGTTCAAATTCTGAGAGATTACCTACAGCATTTCTCATTAGCTTTTGGACCTGCTGGACACAGAGGAGAAACTGAAGCAGACTGCCTGGCAGGTTATGAAAAATTTGTTTCCTTTTGAGGTTAAGCAGACCACAGTGCTGAAGCAAGGACCTCACCACATACAACCGCCTCATGATGGAAACCACCAGCACTGAGGACTGTGAGGTGTGCCCATGGTTTGTACAGACCTCTGCGATGATGGGACCATGGTGTCTGCGGCAGCTGAAGGCTGGACACCAGGTGCTGGGAGAGGCAGCTAACAGAACCGTCTTCCTCCCCCTCTGTGAACCAGGCATTCTGGAACCAAAGCTGCTGTAATTTCATAGAAGATGCTACGAGATCTTTTAGTATCTTTCCTAAAAATACATAGAATTAAAACAGTATATAGACAGACTATGTGAATTTCACTGGAAAGTGGACAAAATGAGTGTTGTAGCAGTCGAAATGCACTAGCACTAGGAGTTGTTAAAATAGGGATTATTTCACAACTCCCTGTAGCAAACATTCCCCAAACCACAGAAGCGGCCTGCAAATGGCCTCTTCAGAGATACTGGGTTTTATGCAACTAGACAGCAGCTTACCAAAAGCCTTTGGGATTCCAGAAGTCTGGGATCTACTGCAGGAAAGCCAGAGCAACAGGCAGAGCTCCCAGGGAGCTGGGGTTATGCACACAACGAAAACAACTAAACAAGTCCCATGATCAGAGTAACCTAACAACAGCAAGTCTTCAACCAAATAGAACTGCTTTAAGACAAAAAGCTGGAAATTGTTCACCTCGTGGAAAAAAAAGTGACCAAATTTGCTTGCTTTGGAAAAACAAAGCCCTTCAGAGTAAGAGAAAGCACCTGTTCTGTAATCCCTGTGTACAGTCAAAATACAAACACCACTTCCTAGCTGCACAAAGGGACTCAGGGAATTAAGCAATAGTGTCCTATCATTTCCTTTTCAAGGCACACCTACCTAGATTGCTGCAATATAAACTTGTAGAAGCAGCAACCCATTTCTGTAGTACTGCTGCCTTTCCAAAAAGCACCCCAAACAAACCAACCCCCCCAAACATTTTAAAAGACTAAACACAGACATGGAGATCAAGCTGACCATTCAGGATAAGAGGACCCATAACATTCTGAAGACTGTTGCTAAGATATAGAATGCTGATGCCACAGATGTTACTCATGACTTTCAGAAATTTGAAATTACAGGAAAAAAAAGCAATTCTCATATTAACAAAAGAGAGGGTAATTTGTTGTTTTTTGTTTTGTTTTGTTGTTTCCCTTCCTATTCTATTACTTTTTCATTAATTCACCCAGGAAGCTACAAAGGACACCAAGACCTAAGGGGAAAAAGCTTCTGGAGAAGTACCAGAGGGCAAGAGACAAGTGAGCAGAGTAAAGGAGAATGGCACAGTCACAGGCAGCGAGGTGACTGCAGAGGGAGACACGGTTTAAGGGACATTGGTGCTCTCACAGTTTGCCTTAGGAAATTTAAAAGAAAGGAAATACAAATGATTCTATTTTTTTTTAACTCTCTTTAAAGAAGAATAAGCAGCCAACACTTGTTTAAAAAAAAAAAAAGAGGGAGGGGGGGCTTAAAGAATTATACAGAAGTCTCCTGCGGTCCGAAACGTCCAAAATAAATTATTATTGCACTACTGACTGTGAATTGCAAATCCTCTGCTGCATGAGACAATGCTACACAAGACAGTCATCAAAGAGAGAAACATCACTGGGGTGGGGAAGCTGCCTGGAAGCAGGCCAGCCCTGCCATGCCTACAGCACGTGGAGCGCGGGGCGGGCAGCCAGCGCCTGTATTCCACTGACCGACCATTACAGTGCTGCAGCCCTGTGTTCCTGTCATTATGTCTGCCTGTCAAAGGGAACATTCTGACAGAAGATGAGATGGCATGAGTGCTTGTATGTTGGGTCAGTGCACCTCTGAATCCAAACAGTCTTATTACTGAAGGTCATCGTACCTATTACATTCCCAGATAAGGCAAGGTTACCCCCCTAAGCAGCTCCTGAACACCAAACTTCATCCATGAGAGGTACATGCCAAGGCAAACAGCATCTGAAACATCATCCTACAAAGAAAGCTATCTTTACTTCAAGATGAAAGGGAGGTACAATGTAACTTTGTGAGCGGAAAGATAGCTGAGAACAAACAGCCGACCCTGAAGCTATTCTCTGAATTCAACAGTCTGCCACAGCACCTCATTCATCTGCCTGCCTTTAAAGAGATGAGCAAGTTGATGGCATTTACTAAACATCTTAAGCCTTAAAAATGTGACTAATTTCTTACAGAGGTGTATAAATCACTTAAGGTATTATCAGCACAATTATTCAGTGAACCAAAGGCTGCCATTTAAGAAGTCACCCTCCACACCAAGTTTACTAAAACAAGCAGTGACTAAATTACTGCCAGCTCTCAGCATCTTAACTTGGAGCTTCATGAATAATGCAGTGTTAAATGAAAGACTGCCTGAACCAGAGATCAATTTGGACACTGACAACACACCTATAATTATCCCACATATTTACAACTTCATACTCTTGCAGAAGCAGTTTCTATAGACTGCTTTCTCATTTTAAGATTCTTTTCATACACCTGAAGTGTTTAATAACTTGGGGCAGACAACACTACCAGCCCG